TCATGCATATCAAATGAATAAGTATTCGTGATAAAACATATCTGATTGACATATTGCTCATAACTACCAGTGAATTGTGCAGGTACCTAAATCAATTCATTGATGATAAAACGAACAAAGGGAAGAAACGTACCCAGCATTTGATTTGATTTTGACTGAACTGCCGATTGGTAACGATAATTGCAAAAATAGTTAAGATCGTGACTGTGTGTGAGTAATTCAAACGATCGAAGAGATCGTCGTCGAATTTATTATACGCAACAATCTCAGGTAAACGCCGGATTATACCAATGAGATCCATGGACTAACAAATCAATTAATAAGAGCAGGCAGAATCATTGATTTCTGAAAGAAAGAAATTTACATCGAGACTCGTCTCTTGTGTATGAAAAGAGAAGAGTACAAATGACTAAGCTGCGTGTTAATCTGCTAGTCTTGTCATCTAATCTTTATTAGAGAGTGACAGTTGATTGCATCATAAGAGAAGAAGGAAGGAAAATAGGATCGAGAGATTTCTTTTTCTCGTGTTCAGGCGACAATCGACAATAATCAATCGATCAACTGTGACAGGTTTAACATACCATATTCTGATATGATTTGATAGCTCTTCCATCCTTTCGATTACATCATTTCCATTCACTCACGACCCATGCCTGAGTCTTATCTCCTCATCGGAAATCAAAGATGTAGAAGACAAAAATGAAGAGAAAAAATTCTCTTTGAGACAAACCAACAAGACAGGTGCAACTTACTTGATGATTGACATTTTGATTTGTGATTTAAGATGACATACGAGACAATCTTTTTCGACAATTGAGAGAACTTGCTGACTTCTAATATGCCACTATTCACCAGCCGGGTGGTCCGTGTATGGTAGACGAGAGACAATTATAGTGTATCATTATCATTATAGACAAAATACGAGAATGTATTGCGGCAACTCGAGGCAAGCCTTTTATCAGCATCGTCCTGTTCTTCTTCTTCTTCTTCTTCTTCTTTCTTTTCTTTTGCCGATGGGATGATTGACCAGTTGAAGAAACAGAAGTTGAACCAGATTGGATGTTACGCTGTAGAGTATATTGATACTAATAAAAGTCTTGTAGCCTTCTATGTTTGTTCTTCTATCGTCTAGTAAGAGTAGCGTTGGTCGTTCATTCTATTTCTTTTCTTCCTTATTCTCTTTCTTTTTTCCTTGCTAAGACATAATGAGAACCAACCGGACACACGCAATCCTTGCAAGATGATGATGATGATGATGACGACGACCAGTTGGAACAATTATTGAGCTCGACGACGAGAACGATCCAAATTAGTTTTGCAGATGAATGTCACTACAGTTGGTCATTTTCTCAATCAATGCACAATACATACATACATACACATACGCATATGTCACAACAGAATTAAATTCAATATGACCGACATATGCGGAGAGTTTTTCTTAAGAATAAAAAGAAAAGAAAAGGAAAAGTGTAGTGAACAAGAAAAACGCAAAAGAAACGGAGAAAAAGAAGAAGAAGAAGAGTTTTCCCCTCTTCGTTCACTCACACATACTTTGTCATTCTTATCTAAGTACTGCGGAAAAGATTAGCATGAAGAAAAATATAACGATGAACGTGAATATATCGTGTGGAGAAGTTCGCACACGCATACACTCAATAATTACAATGTTTCTTCTTCCTCATTTGCCCAATTCTAATCGTCCTCTGTCCGTTCGAAACAAACGGGAACGCTTTGGGACTATCAGGATATCGAGTTACTATTTCACAAATTCCTTTGTTTTGAATAATTTATGCGGCAACTTTGGCCTTGTTTTAGTAATAATCCTTGAACTGTGTAATACCGATCTTGTTCGGAAATAATCAATGAATAACACAAAACTCTCTCTAAGTGCTCATCGTCTTCTGCAGTTCGAGAGAAAAACATACATCCCGTTAGTAATTCTAACAAAAACAACTCATTAATTTTCTATTGAAACACTAGACAACTTTATTATCTAATTTAATTACGAGAAAATCCAATCTCAATTCACAATTGAACTGTTCGATGAAGACGATAGTTTTAAATTTCTGCCAATCAGAAGTATTCCTCTCAAAAAAGAAACCACAGAAAGTAATTTACATTTGAAATGAATGAATTTACTTGGAATACCAATGATCTACGCAAACATTGAAGCGGAACAATAAACATGAATTAGAAATTAGATAAGTAGGGATTATTTGCGCAATAAATCATTCTTTTTCATGAGGAAAAAAAAAGAATGGATTGCTTTTTGTCTTTGCTTAAGAGAGCTGAATAGTTCTCCAGATGAAAAGAATAACTGACCTCGGATTTGCTCGAGTAACTTTTATCTTTGTTTGCTGAACAGTTTTGATTAGTTTATAGATGGAAATTGTTCAGTCAGACAAAAATCACAATCGAATGATGAATCGCCGCTGGTTTATCTCGTGATAAGATCTCTTTTAATTCATTACAGAAAGATGTGAAGATACAATGCAGAAGATTTGATGAAAGAAATTATCTGAATAGCGTAGGAAGACGGAAAAAAGATATGTTTATATGTACAATCGATATTTTTGTCATTAGGACATAAATGAATAGTTAATTATGATGTTTATTTTTTTAAAAGAATTTGTTGTACGGACAAATCAATGTGTAGGGACTTTCTTATTAGCTGGAATTGTGCTTTGGAGAAAAGGATTCATGGGGTGAAGTACTTGCATCCTTTTGTGAAGATTTAATGCATCAGCATTTCCTTTGCGAAAGTGAAACTACATTTGATAGAGAGAAATGGATAGTTTGAGGAGATTTTTAATGCATGTACAAATAAGATTATTCTAATGATAAAGTAGCAACCTGTTGGACCTGCTTTGGCACGTTTTGTTTCCATCGGAAATGATTGATTAATATTTATCTGAGAAAGTCTCCTAGATGTAACTCTTTCATCGCGTAAATCACAAGAACTACAATCCATATACGAATAAAAGACAATTTTGTCAATGGAAATCGAACACCATTCACTCAGACTTGTTGTCTTTCTGATTTTACATCTCAACACATAAATTATCGTGTCAACCTGATGATTTCATAATGAGACCGTGGAGTGAAATTACAAAAGCGGCATAATATGTCCAAGTAGAAGTGCAAATAAACAGGCGCGTTTGCTATCTAAACTCGACATTGACAATAGCAACAGGCAACTCGCTAACGACTGTCTCTATTTAGTTAACATTTATCTGAAGCGAATTTATCTCATTCGAGATGTCTCCGAGTTTGGACATGATCAGTCAGCGTAAGAAAACTTTCTCGAAAAATAATCTTTTGCTCTCGTTAACCTCACTTCTAGGACATCACTACTAGTCATCTCTCTCATGACTTTTTCTCTTCTCTCACATAAATATCGACTGAGTATTCTCGAGAGGACGGAAATGAACGTATCTATCTATCTATATGATGAAATTGAGCGCGATTGATTGCACAGATAACATGGAAAAATTGAATCGGACTCAATAAAATTAATTCTAGTGCTTGATTATATTAATTTAATCAATCGATGTATTCGTTAGCGTTTTTCTCTTATCTCACTCTCCCTCTCTTCCCTTCTCTTCACGTCGAATAGTTTCTTTTTATCGTTCATAACCTTGAAGCATGCGTAAATGTCTCTTCATAGTTTCTTGAAGACGAACTTTTCCATACTCATTTCTGTCATTCTATTTGTTTGTCTGTCTGTCTATCTGTCTGTCTAGAATGTAACGCAAGATACTGTAAGATTTCTCTTTTGTCGTTCTCATTCAAGCTTCTCGATTTTTCAAAACCCAAACATATCCGTTGAGAGAACTAGGACGGAGATGAGAAACGTGGTACTATTCACTAGTGAAAGCTAGTTTATTGTCACATCATATTCACAAATTAGAATGAGTTGTTCATTTGTTTGCAGGCATATGCTGAGCATAGCTGTGTGCTGTTTCCGTTGATATTAATCAAAAAAGAAAAACCAGATGAAAAGAAAGTCGAGTGAAAGGAACACAACAAAAGCATCGATTTGGATGTATTGAAAGAAGAAGAAAAAAAAAAGAAGAAGAAGAAGGAATAGTTGTTAGATGATTATTATTAGTTGTTTGAAAGACAGACATATAAGCTGATAAAGACTCGACACATATGTCAATCGTTTCAGTGATAGACATCTTTATGATGTGGCTTGCATTTGACGATCGAACTTCTGATGTCCATCAAATAACTGCAACGATTTCCCTTTGCCTTTTTTTATACAGCAATGGAAGTTCTAGTCGGTTTGCTGTCTGTGTTTAGAGGTACTAAACACATTTTTCGTTCTACCGGATGATGCAAATGTTTCCGATCGTTATTATAGCTTGTTGTATTTTTTTTTCTTCTTCTCCTTGTCTCGTCTTTTGTCTCTTTCATCGGCACGTCGAACAGGAGCTAATCAAACCCAACACAATTACAGTAAGCACTTATCTGTTGCTGCTGTTTTTCTATACTGCGAGTGTTAGCTTCTTCTTCTCCTTCTTCTTCTCTAGGAAATCGACGTCGGTAGTTGTCTGCTTAAAGAACACGCACATCTTGATGTGTAGACGATAGAAATCTTCATTAAATAAACGCTTTTGCCCTCCGACGAAGAAATCATTTCACTTTGTTGTTAATGATACGATATTCTAATCATCTGACGAACTGATAGACAATTATGAGTACATTCTTTGTATATGAATATATTATTGAAGTTTCTGTGACGATTACACCTCGAGGTGAAGTTTGATTAATATTTTCTTTTTGTATGAACCATATCCGAAGGATATTTAACTTATATTTTGGTTTTAGATTAAACCGATGAAATTCTTCTTTGACTATCGGCTATTTTAAGAATAATCATCACTCTACCACTCGATCATTTTCCTTTTTATCCTATTATTGACTTTTTTTTGTCTATTTCGTCGTTAAGTATTTCTCCAACACAGAAGAAAGATCAGACAAAACGATTGATAATGCATTCGATGGTAGCTGCATTTAGTCCATATACCGTTAAACGACGTCGAGTTGAAATCGTTCGAGGTTATTGTTGTCGTTTTCTCCAATGTAGTTTTCCATGCGGCATCGTTATGCTCGTACTTTCAATTTTATTCATTCTGGTTGGTTCGATTCAACTCATCTACATAATTCATTTTAATGGTTGTAATACAACATCAACATCCGATTATGAATTTGACGAGGATTCGTCGATACTATCTCCACTAGCATCATCATCATCATCAGCATGGAACTGTAATCGACAAACGATGAAAGTTTTAGGCATAACATTTACTGTCACAGGTGCAGTTCTATTTTTTATCGGTGTTCTGGTGACGAAATATTCACGTTTGAGCGAGGAAAACAATGTGATACGCACGCCGGCATCATCGCTCATACCTAATCATCCGAAAACATCGGTGACGAGTCATCATCATCCGCATTATCCAACTTCACACTATTATCGTACGCCATCCGGTTCATTAAATGATACGAATACAATTGTTGTTTCAATTCGATAGTTCAATTTTCTCGCTGTCTTCAATCATCATATCATTGTACATATTCTTTTTTGTCTTTTTTTTCATCATTGTTGTTTTTTCTGTGCTAAAAAGATAGAAAAGTAGCAGACATCTATATCTGTATACGATATATAACAGCGTCTTATAATAATTGCTCGAATAACCTTTTTCGGCGTCTAATATCTCTATTTCCGACTAACTTATGCTGATCATCAAGGAGAACTACGTCCATTAGTCTTTTAAAAGAAACATACCTAAATAACCAGTTGACTTAGACAGAATAACTCTTTTTGTAATTTTCTTTCCGATACATGTTTGACTTAGGAAAGAAATGAAAGGTGAGCTGGATGAAAAATGCATGTTAGCAAAATTATATTTAATCGGCTTGGAGAGATAAGTGTGATTGGAATTTGATAGAAACCTTCTTTTTGACGTTGTGATATTCAAAGGTAATCTCACGAGATCAAATGGTTTTCCTTCATCTTGTGAACTTTGATGAAAAGTCAGAAAACTTGTCTTATCTATTCATGTGTAAGAACACCTCGATCATGAATTGTTAATCAATCTTCAACTGATATGTCTTTGTCTAATGGTTGTTTTCTATGAGAGTAACGAGACAATATAGTATTTATCTTTGGTGAAAACATTGATGACATCGGTATTGGATTGTTGATTGTGATATATGACATAAAGATATGAAAGAATCGAACAAATCTAAGTATGATAAATGAATTCAGATGCGACATACGATTTATCGTTTGTTTTTCCTTCGAGTGACTGTTAGCTGATATTCAAAGAGCGAATAGTAATAACGATAAGACGGAAGAGTGACAAGAGATAAACAAATGAAAATTCATTAAATAACCTACGAAGGAAATAATATCGTGTCAAGTATGAGCTATTCGAAAGTAATATTTTTGATGAAAGATTATGTCATAGACGAGGTTAGGAAGACAAAGAAGTAGCGATCAGCAGCATTTCAAGGACATTTGCTTCGTCAATCATGCGATGATTAATCGCAATAACCTGTATTTTATCTATAGTTTTAGATGTGTTTATTATCAGGATGACAGATATTTGAAGGCAAAGCTTAGTTTCAAGGTAATTATTCGGATTTGCAGAGGTCGAATCAATAGGAGAAATGCCCTCTTCGTATATCTCGGTTGAATCTGCAAAGTCTAATTATTAATCGAACGAATAGATGTGACATCAACGCGAAGAGTAGCAATTAACTGTTGACACTTGGAAAAATACCGAATTAACTATTAAATCATATAATTATGATGTTTATTTTAAGACACTCAAAGTGCATTTACTTTCGTCGATATAAAGTGACGTATCTTTGTTTTCTGCATATGAATTGTTGTTTTTCCTTATTAGCATTGATCAATGTGTTTATGTTGATTGTTTACATCTTATTTTGTCATTAATTCTCCCTTCTATGTCTTTTCTTATATTTTTGTGTTTGCATGCGATTGCTCTACTTGTTCCTTCGACTCGTTTTCTCGCTTCGGTTTCTCTTCCTATTTTACAGACACACCAATCTTTTCATCATCATCATCATCATCCTCATCATCATCCCGATATTCTCTTCTCGTCGAAGACTGTAACGCGTGTTCCGACACATTGCAAGTACTGACAACGTGCCATACCGAAATCTTCTTTCTCTTTCTCTCGCTTTCCCAGTCGTCGACAAGCACATGTCACAACGACCATCTTAACTGTCAACTTTCAATCATAAGTCATCGTCCCATGCAACCGAACTTTTCAATACCGATCGATACGGTGATTATCAAAGATCCACTAGCCGAAAAAGCAAGTACGACACTTTTGAACTCGTCAAATGCCAAAACACAACATCATCTGTATCATTATTGGACACTGAATGAACGTTTAAGATCGAAAAATGAAAAATTAGTCAAAAGACAACAGTCTTCATGTCGTCTAGCCTTTTATTGTCTATGGTTATTTCTCCTCGGCGGTATTTTGATTATTCTTATCTATCGTTTCACCGAAGAATGTTCACTTCTAACGATTGATCGAAAACAGCTAGTTTTAAGGTGTTTTCGTCATTTATTTCTTTTAGCTGCGCTCTCGTTAAGTTTATGTGCGTGCACCGGAGTTGTGTGTAGTGTTTGTCGATATTTTCGATCCCAACCGAAACAATTCCTTGATGACGATGAATATAAATCTTATTTAAAGAAAACAAATGACGTTGTAGTAACCATTCCTCCTCTCCATGCGTATTCTTACGAAACATCGAACTTATCATCTCATCGTATATCGCATCCGTCTGATGAGCATTCAAATACAACGATGAGTTCATCCTTACCGAATGCATCACCACTACGGAAGATTCCTCCATTTACGTATGAAGAATTTCCATCTAATCAAAAACATACACATGCAGTTTTACCAAATGGAATTGTTACCTCGAATCCTTTAAATCCAAATAAAAGTGCATTTTTCTGTTCGTCACCATCTGACTCATCATCACCGCAATCGAATCTTTCAACAACTATAATAACGAATAATATTCCTCGTCCAACCGCAATGAATTGCAATAAACATAAGCCACCATCGACATATGAAGATCCTTGTGCAAGTACGCCGACGTCGTATACAACTTGTGCGTGCGGTATCGATATTTGGGAACGACAACAGAGTTCTATGTCTCGACCTTCACCGCATTGAAATTCTTCTTCGTTTTACCTAAACATATTGACATTCATCTAATCATTTTAGTCACGGGTGCTACGATTGTTAATTTCATTGGATTTTTCTATCCTTTTTTTTATCAACAAAAGAAAAGATATACGTCTATACGACCTAAGCATATCCTTTTCTGAATGATTTCATAATTCTAACGTATTTTATCAAAAGAACATCGACACGAAAATATTGTCTTATCAGTTTTTTTTTCTATCGAAATCGTAGCGAATGATAACAAAACTATCGTCTGTTGATAGAATTCATATCCTAATTAAATTAGTCGCTTCAAGAAATACTAGTCAGATGTAGGAAAAATACTGCAGTTATAGATAGTTAATGTTTATTTTCCTTATCCGTTCTAATCGAATCAGAATATCCACGTACGAGGAGAGAACTGCTCGTTTGCTTCGTCGATCGAGTTCGCGTTGCCCTTCGACGTGATCATTTTTCATAAACATTTTCGAGATAAGATTTTTTTGGACGAATTCTCTGCTGACGTGATAGGATAATTCATTTGCAATTAGAAAGAAAATATTCTTTTAAAAAAAATACTGTGACAATCAATGGACGGAAAAAAGAGAAAACACATATATTGACATATGTGAGAAAAGCAAAAGATTGATTGTTCGAATTAATTTTGTCGTTTGGGTTTGCCTAAAGATTTGGCCATAAGCGAAACAAGTGCTTTCATAACATCGCCATTTGTTGATTTTAATTCTTCGATGGCTTGTTCTCTGGTGAATCCCTTCTTGGTTATTTCATTGATTAATCGTTCGGGAAAAGGAGATGGTGGATCGAGTCGTCGAGACGATTGACTATTAGAATTACCTATACAAGGAAATTTTCTTTTGTCGGAGAAAAACGCAAAAGTATGGCTTGGAGTTTACCAGAAGCTACTGACGCAGATTGCAAAGGATTCTCAGTGCGGTCAAGATCAGCTGAGCCAGGTGTATTTCCAGTTAGTCGAGCGTGTAATGGTAATTCCGATTCAGGTAAAAAAGATGTTTCAACGCTGTCTTCAATTCGAAGAACATTTTTATCCAAATCAATAACGCACTGAAAATATGGAGTTATCGCTGGAAGAAAGAATGGTAAAGGCAAGTTTACCCGGTGACGACGAAGCATATCAAGTCCGATTAACATATCAATTGATTGTTCTTCGAGTACGGATAATGACGTAGCAAAGAATTGCTTTTCGACTTCAAGCTGTGCTAAAATAAATACCAAGGATGGGAAAAAACAGATGACATCTTTGTACCAAACAGACCTAAATGAATACGTCCAAGGATTTTTTGTGTTCCAACACCTTTAGCAATGCCTTGGAAACGTGCATCGACAAGACGCATTATTCCGCAACGTTCTGCACATGCTTTACTCATAATGGTCATCTGTGCGCCAGAATCAACAAAAGCTTTCACGGAATGGCCGTTGATTTTACAATTCTAATCAGAACTCAGGCAATAAGAGATCGTCTCTCCTCTAATTTCTTACGATGTAGAGCATGACAACATTTCCAAAGAATTCCGGGGCGTGTTCATATGCGTGTTCCATATTATCCATGACATTTTCCATACTAAGAGAAAAAAAGAACAGAACGATGAAAATCTTTGCTTTTTTGCTGTACTTAATGCGCTGTTCAATACGCCGTTGTATTTCTGGATCGAGTAGATCAACCTCTGGTTGTCGCTCTGTTGTTCCACTCTGCCGAAGTGCCATTCGACTCATTAGACATTGCATAAATGCCACTGATGAGAAATTAGACAAGTGAGAAGTGTTTTACTTTTAACGGTTGTCACGTACTTATATCATTTCGTTCGATCGCATCAGCTAGTTGAGGATCATTTCGGCGAAATTCCTGAAGAGCAGCAGGATTCGAACGCAGTTGCTCGAAAAGGTGTTGTGGATTGTTCGCTTAAAACGCAATGAGATTTACAGGAGAAAAATCCTCAGTAGAACATACGATCCATTGGAAAACGTCGAGTCGTCGCTGCTTCCTGTTGATTGCGATTCTCACTGACTTAAATAGAAAATTAGATCGAGAAGAAATTAATCAAATTATTCGCCACATTTCAATTAATAGAATAATCAAATCAAATACAATTCACGCATATTTCTCAAAAGTGCACAATCGTTTTCTCTGTTCTTTCTTTGAATTCTAAAGGAAAACTTACGTAGCTTTCGTTGACAGGTAACAACATCATAATCTTTGACATTTGCTTGTTCGAGAGTCTGATTTTCATCGCGAAGTAATCTACCATCATGATAAAGATTCATCTGAACTGCTTCAATTCCGAAATCAGTTTCCGATGCGATTATAACTTTCAAATCTTTTAGCGTTAAATCCGATGGTATCTCTATCGTCAATAGATCTTCACTGTCCCCGAAATTAGCTATGGAAATATGCATTTTGACTTCGTTCGAATGAAACAAAACAACTTTTTTTTAATCTAAAACAAACACACAAGTATTAGTTTTTTCGTGCTTTTTTGAATATTGGTACAAAATCGTCATTGTCTCCTTCTTCTTCGTCGAGCTGCTGTTGAAATATAGGTTTAGGTTGTGTATGTACATAGGCTGGTGTGACCCATTTCGGATTTCGTTCCGCTTCTTCAGCATGTTTTAATATTTCCGCTCGTGGATCTTCTTTTTCATGAAAATTCGGTCGAGTCATTTTTTGAACGATATGTTGATGCAAGGAAGACGATTTCTTGTCTCCTTGTGGATTCTTCTCCGGATATATTTCGTGCGTCTCTTCAATCGGTTCAGATGAATCAAGTGGATTGATATTTGCGATGAAATCATTTGTCGATTTGTCTTTTCTCTCCTTTCGATTCAAACATAGGCGAACTCCAGCCATTGGCGACCGCTCTTCGTCATAAAAAGCTCGAACAAGACCATTGTTTGTCGTTGCGAAGATTTGATTTAATTTTGGATGCCAATTTGTTCGAATAACACTGTCATTAAAGAGAATTTCCTCGACCGGTTTCGACAAATCATTCCGATTGAAAATCACCAATTTACCACCCGAATCTGATTCATTTAAATTATTCAATTTCGACACACCAGTTACCAGAAATTGATCGTTTGGAGAAAATGAGATATTTGTCATAGAGAACTGATTTGGTAGATTTTCATGCAAAGATAAACATTGATTAAATTTTCGAATGTCCCAAATCTTTAACGTATGATCTGTTGACCGTGATGCCAATATCTGACTATCATATGACCATTTTAATGCTGTGATCGAATGATCTTGTAAATGTGCGTTGACACATTTGAATGTTACATGAACAAATGACCGTCGACGATCCCAAACAAGTATATTACCATTCTCACAACCAGCAGCAATTAGATTACAATTTTCATTGGAATATAAAGATTGACTGTATGTACAAGTTGTTGTTCGAACATCGCGACCCGATTCACCCTTCGTGCGAATCACATCGACTTGTTGATCGCGTTTATTCAACGACCAAAGACGCAACGTACAATCATCAGCGCATGTCATAAATTCTTGAGAATTTACCGATGGATTCCAACAGCCATAATTTAGCAAAGCTTTGTGACCTTTCGTGCGATTCATATCTTTGACGTACATATCACCAAGAACAGTTTTGTAAACGATATGTTTTCCAGAAGCTAAAAGAACCCGAAATGATTCCACGTTGGATTTTTATCAATGAAAATACCTTCTCGATTGACTACAATTGCTTGACAATCACCAGGAACGATTAATATCATATCGTTATTGGCACTATATTCAATTGCACGCAATAATCGTCCGGGACAAGGTTGAATTGTTCGGAATGCTTGAAAATGTTTATCCATTGATGTAAAATCAAACATTTTCATAGTTTCATCATGTCCACCAGTAATCATACGAATTCCGTTGGAATCCAACGTTAAACACGAGACAGTTTTCAATCCATGAACAATATTTACATGCGACGAGATCGGCAAAACATTGTCATCTTCTGTCTCCTCAACATCGCTCTCACTCGAACTTGTCTCGGTCATCTAAAACAAAAATCAACACTGTTTATTACGAAAGAAATATTATTGCATAGAATAAAACTGTGTCCTTCATCGTTTACTTTTCATCAAATAAAATGACTGACTGAGAGAAAGTGTTCACACATTGTACCAATCGAGAAAGAGAAGGGAAAAAATCATAACAAGTAAGAAAAAGATCACCCAACGACGCATTTGGGCAGTGTTTCTGATCGCATCACGAATGTGTATAATCGCAGCAGCTAAGTCATCATTACTTGCCACTGCTGCAGCATCAACATTTTGAATGAGATCCTTTTGACTGAAGATGTTATCAAATAATTCGTTCTGTAGTTGAGCAATTTCGACAACTTGAGTTGATATGGCGTGAATTTCCTCACTACGTTGTGCGACATCATGATACAAGCGATCATTTTCCAGTTGTAGTTGATGTAATTCAGTTGACTTCAATGGTGCCGATGGAATCTGATGTTCCTGTTCATCTGCGTCGAATTGCGAAATTTTCGTGACGATAATTTCCGAGCTAAAACTCAATTTTTATTGAAATTTTTCTTTTTGACAGTCGTTTACTTGTTCTCATTCTTGGCATTTTCGACTAAATTTTCTGTTTTATTCTTATTAGCGCTCAGAGTGACTCGCAGGACGTCGTTGTCTAATCTTCCAATTTTCTTCCTTTCAGATTCACGCTTGTATCGTAAACATTTTTGTTCACTGTAAATCTTTGTACATTCGACGAGATCACGTTCCAAGTACGCGCAAACTAACTCGAAATGTGCACGTCGTTGTCCTTGAAAGCAAATTAACCCAATCGAAGATTTTAATTCTTCAAGATTGTCTCGACAGCGTTTAATTTGTCTCTCGACATGCTGTTCGTAGTCATGACGTTGTTCGTCATTCATAATCTTGTTTGTTGAAGAGAGAAGGTAAATTGGACTAAGATAATTCGTTCGAGATTCCAATAAAGAATATTTCAGTTTTGTGATGTCACTTAGAATGATCTTTGCTTGAGATAAAAATCCTGTCGAGATTTTTTCATTCTTTTTCGAACGTTTGCTCAATCCAAGATTGAAATCACTCGAGATTTGCTTCGCTTTTATGATTGCACGAAACGTTTTGGTTATGTCTGTCATCTAGAACATAGAACTGATGTTTGAACATGTCTTGTTTTTTTTTTGTTTGAATCATCATTTATTCAATAACAGAAGTGATCTTTTAAAGATCAAGACACAATACGAACAACTAGATTGGGATTGTTGTTGTTTACAAAGGTGAAAATATAGATCAGCTTTTACTCTACAATATGAACATTAGACATGACGAAATGTTTAGATTTTATGTGGTGGTTCATCGTTGCCACTGTCTTTTTCATCATTTCGTTTCCGTTTTTCACCTTTTGACGATCCTAAATTCGATTGATAGTGAATACGAAATTGTTCTCAAAATGAAGATTTACCTTCGATTGGACCTTTTGGAATATCTTCTTCGGATAGATCATCGTCTTCGTCTGAAAAACATGATGAAATAAGATAGTTAATATTAGACAAGAATTAACTTACCAGACTCTTCCTCGTCTTCTTCATTTCCTTCGTAACTTTCTTCATCATCGTCACCATCTTCAAATGTACCATTGTACAAGGCTTTCAAACCGGTTTTACTATCATCCTAAAGAATACACTTGTATAAAATCATCACAAATCTATTTATTTCGTTTACCTCTTCGTATTCTTCGTCTTCATCGTCATCTTCTAGAACAAATTTTAAATTTGCATTTTATATGAAGAAAATCTTCTGTTGTACCTTCATCTGATTCAGCATTTTCATCATCATCTTCATCGTCACTATCCCTTTCGACTGAAATATTGCCAAAGAAAAAGGCTAAATCGAATGAATTCTGCAAAACTCACCACCGGTCTTATCGACATTGTCCAAATATTTCAATTGCGGTAAGATATTGAACACTGCTTCCCGATAACCATCGATCGTAGTCACTTCGCAGTTTGCCAAATCCAGCGTGGATAATTTTGGTAATTTCGCCTTGATTGACAACGAGGAAAACAAGTAAAACGTATGAATCTTCATTTATTCTTACCAACGGTTTGAGTTCATCGATGGATTTGAACTTGTTTCCAGCAAGAATCAATAAGGATAAATTTGGACAACCTTCGAGATTTTCCAAACCCGAATTTAAACGATTATCACTTAGATAAAGCTATAAAGCAAGAAAATTTCGATAAAAACACTGCCGCGTTCACCTACTTTTCTAAGATTAGGCAACGCAGGAAATTTTGTAAGTGATTGAAGACCCACATTGATGATCGAGAGCACTTGTAAATTAGTAAATTCATCTGTTAAACCTTGAATATACGAGCATCGAGCACAATTGTCCAAGACAAGTTCAGTTATCTGATGAGAAAGCCATTCTCAAAAAAAATTTCACAAGCCGAAATCGAAATACCCACCGAGTTTGGTTCGCGACGTTTCAGTTCAAGACAAACACGTTGTGCCATTGAGTTTTGTTCAGTAGTAACATTATTTTCATCTTGGACATTTTGTTCCGACATGATGATGCAGTTCGAAATCTATTGCTTTGTTTCTTCTTTAGATCGAGTTTGTCGTGCAGACGAGTGAAATGAATCACTTGGAAAACATTCGCAGAGAACAATAGCGATACGCGGACATAGACAACAGTAAAACAAATGTCAAATAGTATTCGTTTGCATACAGATGTCGGTAGTGTACCAAACTTTCAAATATTTTGCCAAGTTCTTTTTTTGTTTCGAGTCGTTAGTATAGGGGAAGAGAATTCGATGGTTTAAGAGACCGAAGAGTGCATCATTTAGCGATAATGAATGCATTGAGGTGAACGTGAAAAAGATTTTCTCTGTTTCAAATGACTGAATAAGAAGATTTCGATTAACTCTATGCTTGTTTATTGATAAATCGAGTATGCACGAACTTTTATCAAATTACAAAAACTGGAAAATGGCAAGAAAAATATGCATGAATGAAATGAAATGTGTAAAAAAATCATGAAAGTCTGTTGTGAAATCTTTTCATATATGATGATGATGATGGATCTTGTTTAGAAGGCAAGAGGTTTGATAACACTTCGTCGACGTTTGCCGAGATTGAGACCGAGAAGACCGCCACCATTTCCCTTGCTCAAGGGACCATTGAGACAGCCTGGGCAACCAGTAACTGCTGAAAGGACGCCAGATATTGTGCCGACAGCTGAACCTAGGACCTTCTCGAGTGTGCTACCAACGCTTGCTAATACTCCGAAGAGTTCATAGAGAATACCGTTCAATAAGTCGGTAACCAATTGGCCAATTCGGGCGACCAAATATAAAACTTCGGCAAGAAGACCGAGAACTGCTTGTGTTAAAGATTTCACGGCTGGAATGAGCTTAAGATCAATAAAATCCAAAATTTGATCCACTGATTGCTCGATGAGTTTGAGTTGTGGATGAATGGTTTGTTCGAGACTGCTAGTAACTGAATTCGAGAGTTTCAATACTTGAGCCTAAGCAGTGAATACGAAGAAAGATGCTATACCGAAAAAATAAACAAAGATTTGTTAAACTTACGAGGAGTCCAGTCAATACATTGTTGATACCGCCGAGGAGGTTTCCCAAAAGGTTAAGAACCACGTTCAACAATGAAGCAACAAGGTCGAGAACAGCTTTGAGAACTTCACCGAGTGCACTGACAACGTCGGACAGTGTTGTAACAACAGCACCAACAGCACTATTAATTGTACCGACTGCAGTGTTGATGACATTGGCAGCTGCTGAAACGGTGNCGTATAGCATCTTTCTTCGTATTCACTGCTTAGGCTCAAGTATTGAAACTCTCGAATTCAGTTACTAGCAGTCTTGAACAAAAAAGTATCTATGTATAACTATTGATCATCAGACAGTTCGAACATTATCTGTAGCTTTTTAGATAAAACCAATCGATCGGACTGGTTTTGGAGTCGAGTTTAGTTCAGTAAATTTTACGTTGTAAAGTAGTTTTTAGGGATGATATGTATATAAATATGTTTTGGTTTCGTTCAATCGAGAAGCAGAAGGAAAAATGTGACACTTATGGATGAACAAGTAAATGATGTATAAGCTGGAATCTTACGATGTAATGCACGAAAGCAATACACGTGGCTTGTGCACTCTGAGATACTCTTTTGTTTTGTTTTGTTTTGTATATTGTAACTTGATGAAACGATTATGCAGAACAAAAGGTGAAAGGAGTAAAAGTAAAAACATGGGGGGAATGGGAGTGAAAAAACAAATCGACATTGTTTTGTTGTACTTGTCAAGTAATTTATATATTTCAAGTAGATTTGAAGAAATCAACAAATTATGCCGTTTGTATGAAATTCTGCAATGAATTTAAAATTATGAAAAGTATCTTATGACACAGAACGGGAAGTGTCCCACAGAAAAAAAGTTAATCTTGGACGTTCCCACTCTTCTCTCATAAATCTAATTACCTTGTCTTGGAGAATACGCGAATAATTTTGAAGTGATTAACATCAGTGTTTAAATAAATGCTGTGTTAAAAAGCTTAAAGTTTGTCTGTCTATCCTGTCCAATCAGAAATCAGCATTTCTAAAATCAGTGAAATTGGTCGATGGTTGTTAGAAAATGATTACCTCTAGGGTAATCGAGGTCGGGTAACTTGAATCTGAGGTTAGTTTTAACTAATAATTTACTATCTGTCAACTAGACACAGATTATTAATATGCAGGGTAAGGGTTGATCGAAGGGTAATCGAGGTCGAGGATCACGGATCCGACGTTAAATGTTGCTTAATTAGTTATTAATTTTTCATTAACTAGCCACGACTTATTAACATCCATTGTCAGAGTAGACCGAAGGGTTTCTGACGTCACGAAATTCGAAGTTGAGGGTGAATTTCGTCTTGTTCGCTGAGCCTGGGCTGGTTCCTTCCTCTTTACAAAGGAGATATTTTTTCTTTATCTGTTCTAAAACCTTTTGTAGAAGATGGTGAGCTGAACACTATTCACGGACGCCATGTGTACAAAGATAGTAGCTCAAGAATTTACACGAAAAGATCTAATGCATTGTACATAATGATGTTTCTAATTCTAGAAATCCGAAAAAGTGATATGAGCTTAGTATCATCTTTGCTTTGTAGGCTACTTACATCATACTTTTTCATGGGAATTTAGTAGAAGTAGTTCTCAAAGTGATATAGCCGTCGGTGGAATTCCACCTTAGTAATTACACACGCGTCGACTGTAGAAACAGTATTCTGAACACATGCAGCGCTCTGAAAGATGTTCGTTTCGAAGCAAATTATAGAATAAGACTTTCTTATCTAGTTTCTTTTGGTAGTCGAATGAACGACTAGGCGTATAAATACTAGATGAATTCTAAGGTGTACGCTTAGAATAACCTTGCCAGATTTCCGATAGTTCTGAAAGAGATTTGACGAATGGATATTGCTCAATGAAAATATTCGACAAGGTATCATTTTGTCGCTGGAAGACACAGACGAATGTTCAAACTTTTCAAGTAGTCTACTGTATATCGTCCGTCAATGAGTGACTTAGTAAAGCATTTATGAAGATTTCCATGCGCGTGATGTGAAAAAAGAAAAACAGAGGACAAAGGTCAATGGTTGGCTGTGAGTGGTCGTCTGACTAGTCGTTGAGCGATGAATTTTTCAGTCAACATAGTGAGTGCTGGAGAATTATCCACTGACACTAACAAATGGCTAATCGGTCTGATTCCTAAAAAGACCTCTCTATCCTATTCACTCTAGTGTGCGACATAGTGCCATGATTCAGTTGAGCACTAGTGGCAATCGCAGTGCGTTTTTTCTCTTTCGAAGTCTGTGAATGTGTTCAGCATTCGGAAAAGTCTTTCAGAAAAGGGTCAGCGAATCCAACGGATGAGCGTTACTTGTAATTATTTTTGACGGCATTTTCAATTTCATCATCCTCTTTTATAAATAGTACTACGTTTGCGTGTTGTTTGCTATTGAATTATGGAAGTTTCAAAAGATTAGTGCGTGTAATTCGTGATCAGAGCATGAGCTGTTTATTATAACTTCGAATGTACATGAATAGTGGAATATTTTTGTTAACAGGAAAAATAAGTTAGAAAGATGAGAATTGAACCTTGAAAATGTATTTTAACTGAATGCAGTTCTTATCTCGTACATGTATAGAATTATGTTTTTCTTCAGAAATAGTTTTATACTTCGATTTGTGTTTAAAATCTGCATTTATATTCGACTGAAACTGGAGAAGTCGCTGATTCAGCTGAGAATTTCTCTGTTCGATTTTTGTTTGACTATATGCATGAAGCTGTATAAACAAGCCACAGTGTTCTGGCGGCCTTGCGCTCTATTCACGCGTTTTGAAAATCAAAATGTCGTTATTTTGCTTTTTCGTCGTATGCTGTCGTCAGAGATTCATTTTGAGGGTAAGAATATTTGCCTAGGAAGAAGAAGGAATGTTTTTTCCAAGTTTCATAAAACGTGAAGGAGCACATTACTTTTATCGTTCTCTACCAAACAACCATTTCTCGCATCTTACAACAACTACCTTATAAATAGTCCAATCTCACAGCAATGGCAAATCAGAAACAAGGCAGTTCGGATATGTTCGAGCAGACACCAGCCACCTTTCAACAAGCAAATGAATTGAATCGTATAAAAATTGAAGAGACGCAAGACGTTTCTGTCATTTGGCTTGACACTCACATTCACAGCAGTAATCCAGATTATCAAAATGCAATCACACATCTTCAATACATTGTCAATGATATTTATACATTCACCGATAATGATGAATGTA